CATGGATGGATCAAGTACTTGGTATATATAGTATACAATGTACGTAAGAACTATACTGTGATATACGTACATGTGAAAGTAGGAATATATAGAGAGATAGATTATGTATGTAGATTGATATGGAAATAAAGTGACATATAACATAGGTACCCGTCATATAGCCATACACAGAGATAGATAATTTATGTACATGGATATATAAAATACATTAAAAACAACATGGGTACATGTCACTATAGCCATGCATCCAAACAGATTGATCATATACGTACATGTGCAACCTATACATACACCGTGATACATTACAAAACATTAAAAATTTAGCCGAGTACCTAAACATAAAACAGATCTACTGTACGTACATAACATAAAATTTGTACGTACATTAAACATAAAAATATTTGATAATATACTAGGAAAACATACATACTCCACTATATACATCACCTACATCACCTCCCTCCATATCTTTAGAAGCATCTATCTGAGCCTCTTTATCATCTTGTGATGTACGTACATTCGAAGGAGAGGAAATACGTACATCATCTCCCTCCATTTTCCTAGAACATCTTTTGTCTGAGCCTCCTTAGCCTCTGCTGATGTACGTAGAAAACACGTACATCACCTGCGTCCATATTCTTAGAAGCATCTTCAACCTCACCCTCCTTACCAACTTCCGCTGTTACATAACCTAACTGTCTACCAAAACAAGAATTTTCAAGTGCATCTAATTGTTGAGTGGCTTCAATGATTCAACGATGACACGGAGGAGTTCCGGTTTGCTGTACACGTTGATATGCGCTACCGATGGGTAATCGCCGGTGACGAACAATCTTTCCGACAGCTTCTCAAGATCGACATGCGCCGGTGATGTAAACGGCGACAGATCCATAATCAAAGACAAAATCGAAGCGGATCTAGTTTTTTAAAAGAAATTCTAGGGTTCGTTTTTGCCTTTTTAGATCTATGAAAGTAAATGGTGAAAATCCAAAATTTTTCGTAGAGAAAAGAAAAGAAAAAGTGAAAATTTTGAAAAAATTGTTAAAAAAAAGTTTGATCTTTCTCTTGGATTTATTTTTCAATTTGGTCTGACAAAGGTCAATCAAAGTTGAGAACACAAAGCTTTTTCCTTTTTTATTTAAAAAATTCAAATATATAAGAAAAATAGCTTTAAGGATTATTATATTTTTTTACGATAGAATTGTGACATATTTGTCTATAAACTCGTTCATAGGACATTATGGTATACAAAACTAATATCACGTGACTTATCTCCAAATATTTTTAAAAAGAAAAGGACCAGGACCTAACCCAAACTACTGCCAGAGCAAGAGACTCAAGACAACAAGAACATCAAGTCAATAGAGGAACCTGGGGACGACGCCAAACACTCCGCGAGGTGATAAAGAAGAGAAATTAAGACACAACACGAGAGGCCTAACCCCAACAGAAATCACCTATCGAGCTTACAAAGGAAACGAATTTCTATCTTCAGTTGGCACACCACGTGTTCCTCCTTTAATTTGGTAGAAGAGATAATCATTTGGAAAGAAATTTTAAAAATGGGTGGTTTGTATCTTGCCACATGTCGTCTAGTAAGAGGTCCAATAGGATATTCAGAGATCTTCCGAAGATATGAGCAAAAACAAAAAGTGAAACCCTAAATTGTATTCAGAGCGCCGTTTCCTAGAGAGATTGATGCATGACGAACTTCACAGATCTTCCAAAGGGTTTCGCAGAGGAGATTCTATGTCGCGTTCCGGCAACAGATCTGAAACGAGCTCGATCAACTTGCAAAGACTGGAACGGTTTATTCAACAATATGAAATTCGCAAGGAAGCATTTTGACAAATCCCCAAAGCAGTTTCTGTCTCTCATGTTGACCCATGACTTCATGCTTTGTCCGATGAGCATCAATCTCGATGGAGCTGATCCATCTACCGAGGTAAAAAGTCAGCTTAGCCTACTCGATCCTCGTTCTAATAATTCAACTCAATTCTGTCGAGTCTTTCACTGCGATGGCTTATTGTTATGCACCCCCCCGAGACAAATCTAGAATCGTGGTTTGGAACCCGTGTACTGGTGAAAGCAAGTGGATCAAAGCAGGCAATCGTGGCGTGGAAGACCACACCTTTGTTCTCGGATACTGTCAAGACAACAAATCATGTGGTAAGAGCTATAAGATACTGAGCTACAAGAGTTTTGACACCAAAGCTGGTTCAGAAGTCTACGAGTTTAACTCTGATTCATGGAGGACTCTTGACCATGATATCGCTCCAGGCTTGGACTTGGCATATTCTGAGAACTGCGTGTCTTTGAAGGGAGATACTTATGTGCTTGCTGAAACTGAAACACAACCGTACTTCTGCCTATCCTTGCTCAGGTTTGATTTTGCAATTGAGAAATTTGTACATGTGCCTCTTCCATGTAACTTGCCTAGCTATGTAGCTACAAGTCTTTCCGTTGTTAGGGAAGGGAAGCTGTCGGTGTTATTAAAACGGAACGATTATTCTCTTACTGATATATGGTTGACAAATACGATTGATGAAACCAAAGTGGTGTCATGGAGCAAAGTCTTAGCGTTGGATTTGTGCTGTTTTGATTTTCACACTTCGAATAGTGCAACTTTCTTGCTGGACGAGGAGAAGAAAGTCCTTGTGTTGTTGTGTGAGATATGGAATGACGAGACCATCTGCGAAAACATGTTGTACATTGTTGGAGAGGATAATAAAGTTACAACAGTAGATTTGGGAGTAAATCCAATGGGTTTAGGTTACCCAACTATTCTTAATTATGTTCCAAGTTTGGTTCATAATTAAAGGAGCCAGAGGCAACAAAAGAAAAAGAGGTGAGTAAATTAAACTCTATATGTTGTAATCTCTTTA